GGACAAATCCATGTGCAAACCGTGTCTCTTGGAGTAATAACTTGGAGCCATCCAAAAACGACCTTGGTCGATTCGTAATGTTCACGGAAACGGTTGGAAGGCGCAAAGCAGTTGCACTAGCTGACATAACCGACAATATTCTCCAAGGATGGAATGGGAAAACAGTCAAAGTAGTCGTTGCAATCTACTCACAAGCAGTTTCATCCAAGGGAATATATGAAGCAGTGGAATCTGTGCTCCTCACTTCATTTGAAATGAACCGAACAGGAGCACCAAGTAATAGGCATGTCTGGAAGCTGAAAGAGAAACTGCAAAAGGAACATCAAATACGTATTTATTCACCAGACTTTGTCTGGGATCTATGGGCTAGTGATATCGCGAAATTATCTCTTCCAGAGCAAGAGATTGCGATCAAAAGACCTCCTCCTCCCAATCTTGTTGGCTTGTTCAAGACACCAGAGAATGTTGTGAAAGCTACATCTGAAAGTTTCAATCGCCTCAACTGTGAATGAAAAGAATCAATCGGATATTCGTAGGATTCGTGATCGTGTACACAGCACTCTCCGCAGAATAGAGGAGCGACTGAAGCATTTTGAACAAGAAATAGCTTCTGAATTCGACCTGATTGAGGCAGATCTTGCAGCAGTTGATGAAACTGCCTCGCACTCCAGAAAACTTCTTCATGCATTCTCGACGGCTTTGAATGCGACTGAAGGAGAGCACCAAAGTAGTATACGACTGGAAACAGAAGATCAGGAGGACGTTGATCATATTATGTGAAGAAGAAACAATAAAAGCGCAAAGCCGTCGTTGTTAAAAAAATTTATTCCATGCTCTCTTCATCACTTTCTACGCCAATGTCCTGATCAAATCCGAGATGAGTAAGATTTTGGTTTAGCCCACGACTAGGATCAAACACTCCGTTTTGCACATATCCGCACTTCTGAAAGATTGCTCGCATGCAATAGTTCCTAAATTCCGAGACAATACTTGCTACAAGGATTTTGCTATCCTCTACAGAATTTTCTACATGGATTCGCTTAAATTTCTTCTTCATCAGTCCAAAAAGCACCTCGATAGGGTTGAAAAACGGGCAATATGCTGGAAGAAAGATAGGTAAAATTCCAAGGCTTCGAAGATAAAGTGTAACGTTTGGATGGCAATGGATAGCAGCCCCATCCATGATCCAGACTGAGTTGCGGCCAGGGTGCTGAAAAACGTTCTTGTTGTTTGTAGCAACATCACAAAGGCACTCTAAGAATCGTTGTCGTGTGAAGGTTCCCTGAGACATACAGCAATCCAGCACTCCACCCAATCCAACAAAACATAGAATAGAAACTCGAGGTTTCCGATTGAATTCTCCACGATAAACAAGTTTCTGTCCTTTCACTCCATAGCCATGACTTCGCAACATATCCCAGTTGTCAAAACCACACTCATCCAGGAAAACGAGATTGTGAAGAAGCCAAGGTAAGTCTAAAAGTTCTGCAAAAAAGCGTGACACATCTTCATAGTTGACCTGTATAGCACGACGCTCCAGGACTTTCCAAGTCATCTTGGCCTCACAGAGAATCCGACAGACAGTAGAAACACTGACGCGTTCATTGTACTTCGCCTCGAATCGCTTTGCTGCCTCATCCAAAAATAAAGTTGGCTCATTTAAGTAAAGATTTACGAGCCATTTCCGCATTTTGACGTTGAACTTTCGGAAGTTGGCATCCTCGTCCTTCTTTCGGCCAACGGATCCTGTTTCTTCATATCTATTTACCCAGTTTTTAATTGTTTTCTGATTCTTTCCCTAGATTTCCGCTAGTTTGGACGTTGAAAAGCCTTTAAAGTAGTACCCATACAGACAATGGTATTTTGTGTCATTGCTTCAGCTGCGGAGTAGCCAGCGGAGCAGGAAAGGAATCTGGCGGAGTGACTTGTGAAAGAGCACGACCAGCAGGGGAGGTGGCGGGGGCGAAGGGCGAGGCACTGGGAGATGCGCGCAACCGTTGGTGAGCGGACCAACCTGTGAATGCTGAGGGGATAGTTGGGACGGTGTGCTGATCGTGAACTGCGGTTGGCGGTCTGGTTTGACAAGGCTATGCGCTGGTTGTCTGCGCTGATTTTTCAGCCCAGCCACCTCTCCCTTTCGCTGGAAATTTTTGCTAAAACCCACAATAGCATGAAACACAAGGGGCGTATGGCGAAATGGTTACCGCGTTCGACTTCGGATCGAAAGATTGCAGGTTCGAGTCCTGCTACGCTCGAGGCCGAAACATGACGTTTGTCGAGGCCTGACGACAGCGATGTTGTTGGAAATAATTACGTTCTGCTACGACACACTGGCGGTTCTCTTCGAAAATTATTTCCAAGTTCGCCCACCAAATTGAGATTGGGTGGAGCTGGACGGGCCTGGGCCAGTTGGATGCCGGAACATGAATTTCCAAACAAACGCTTTGCCGAAAATAGTGCATCACTGAAATGCAGTGACGCGATGTATAATTGTGAGATTTATTAGTATCGTCATATCGATTTGAAACCTCAATCTCACCAACCACATCTGGCTTTTGTGGAACTTTTGGGCCGCCTCCTTCCCCTGCATTGCTTAATCATTAGTCATTGCCTGCTCTGCCACATCTGTCTCACACACAGGAGGTCCCGAGTTCGAGCCTTGGTGAAACCATTGCGGATATTCGACCTTGGATGATAGATGTGCAGTATTGTCCTTTCCGTCGAAAAACGAACACAAAACACTCAAATCGACCACCTCACCGGGAGTGCCGGGCCACTTCTTGACCAGGTCGTGTCTCTGCAGGTGAGGGCAGGCGGAGGCTACTGAGGCGGTGCAAGACAGCAGCACTGGCCTCGGAAGAGAATGAAGGTGACAAGGCAGCCCAGGGAATTTGACAGATCACGTGTTTATTAAGAGAAAGTACTATGCAGATTTTTGTGTGCAAATCCAAAAAAGGCCTTCTGTTCGCTTTTGAACAGCAAACACAATAACCAACGTGCGTTAGAGCATCGCCACCAACCGGAGGTAAATCCTAAAATTGCCCCAGATAGGCAGCTACCAGTGTGGCATATCGTGAGGGAATGACGCTAAGTATATTGGGTAATGAAGTTAGAGTGCAACTGTTTTCAATAATAAAGGGAAAATGAATAGGGGGGGAAGCTGTTGGTTGTTCACAGAGTGCTGCTTTGTGTGCCCAGTTTGTTCCCAGGCCAATTAAAAATCCCCTAATTCGTCTGCGTCACAGCAATCGTTCCATATATAGTCAAACTGTGCGTCCATATCAGCATACTCATTCCAATCATCCGCCACATCCCATTGGGGTTCTGACAGATCAGATGAGGTTTGAGCTAGGAAAGAGTGCTGTGCAAAGGCAATTTGTCGTTGTTGTTGTACAAGAAAGGCTTGATGTTGCTGCTGCCATTCTGTAGAAAGAGTTTGTGTGCAATATCGAGCTTGGTGACTGAATTGGCCACAGCGGCAGCATAAGCCAGGAGCTGGACCAGAACTTGGACTGGCTTGACCCCGTCCACGACCATTACCCCTGAAGCGACGAAAGAGAAGGTTGACTGGAACCGGAGCCGCCTTGAGTAATAATACGTGGTGGGTGTTGGGGACGGCCCCATCCAAAAGAGAGGCTGCGGAAACTGTTGAGGAAGTTGCTTCTGCTGCTGGGGAAAGAATTGCAAGTGCATGGATGTGGGCCAGGTTGGCAGTGTAGAGGACGGAAGGTGCTGCAGTAACCAGGACCACATCCACCTTGTCCAAAGCCTCGACTACGACCTCGGAAGGCTGCAGCGGCGGTACTGGAGGAGGGAACAAGTTCAGTGCTGCTGGAGCTGGGAGTGCTGAGGTACGTTGGCGCTGCAGGGTGGCGAGAAGTTGATGACACGAGTGTCATATTCGAGGTTGGCAACAACAATCTTGGATTCATTGTGAAGTTGGCCAATATTTTGAAGCTTAGAACGGCCAGAAGTAATGAAAAAGTTTACAGCACCAAGGTCTTTCAAAGACTGATTGAGCCCTGTGCCTAATGCAATCACAGCATTTACAAATGCCCCAGTATGGTGAAGAAGTTTGTGGTGGCCGTTTCAGGCAAGGCCAGCATAACATGACAAATTTTCTTGCTGCTAAGATAGTCAAGGAGGCATGAATACCAAGTGCTAAAATTTTCAGGGCCTGTCAAAATCTGAAATGCTTTTGCTTCATAGCAAATGGCAGGCTTGTTAGAGCCACCATTGTGGGAGGATGGAGAGGGAGAGAGAGAAGGGTTGACAATTGGAGAAGATGGTGGGTGAGAGGCTGAGCGAGGGTGAGGAGTCTGGGAATTTGGTGGAGGGGATCTGCAGGTCTTGGAACGCTTGTCAGACAGCTTGAGCGACTGTGACTTTTCCCAAGAGTTAGTGTTGTTGCATCAGAGAATCCAAATGAGTTGATGGGTGTCGAGAAGGAGCTGATGGAAAGCAGTGACAAGGGTTTCAAGGACAGAGGCAGTGGGGTTATCATGTGATAATAAGGTGTCAAAAAAAGGATTGGGGAATGAAGCCACAAAGGAGGGAGGAAATATTGATACAAGATTGATGATCAAAGAGAAATTCAGGGCAGTAGAGCCAGTAAATGGGATGGGCTTGGGGAGTGTAAACAGTCCACTCTGAGTGAGTGAGTGGAACTAAATCTGCATGGTTCACCTGCACTGCTTCCATTCATCATTCTGTTGCTGCACGAGGTATTATTTGCTCCACCTCACCACTGCCAGCTCTGTGCTTTCACCCAAGATGCCCCCATGAAGAGCTTACACCTCTCCTTCCCATCCAACCCTACCACCCTCCACCGACGCCACTGCCGTTGGCGCTGTTGTCGACGCCGCCGAGCTCACAGACGCCTATAGTCAGTACTAAGAACGCAATTCTCTTATTGACATGACCTAAGTCAAAGGGATACTCACAGATCGACCACTGCAGAGAACGCGACTTATGGAATAACAGTTGTTCGCTTGTACAGGGGGCAGATGGCCGAGTGGTTAAGGCGCCAGATTTAGGCTCTGGTCTCGCAAGAGGCGTGGGTTCGAGCCCCACTCTGCTCACTGCAAGTAGGAAACAGAATGGCACCGGCGATGACACTGCTTTCAAACTGAGACGATGAGCGATCGTTCAAGAATGGACATTTCTGAATTGTGTTGTCCTTTCCGTCGAAAATCGGATGCAAAAGAAAAGGAGACACGAATTGTGTGAGGTTTCAGCGGCCCCTGGCGACCACCATCACAGCAGGCGATCATCGTGCACGATCGTGAGGTAAAGGCAACAGACTGGCCTGGGTGAGATGGCAACGGCACAGGCAATGGCTCATACAATCGCTGCAGCGGTTTAGCAGTGGTGGCGCTAGTGAGGGTGAGCAACTTCGTCACAACTAAGCTGTTTGAGTTCGGATGGGGAAAAGTTATGTTCGTGGTGGTAAAAGGGAGAGAGTCTGATTTTCGCTGCATGCGATCCCTCCTGGTTGCTGCTGCTGCTGGTTGAACATGTAGCTTGGCGGTGTCGCTCGCCGATCTCACTACGTTCTCGTTGCACGTTCAGTGTTTCGTTGCAAGCGTGCGGCAAAGCGCCCTTGTGACCAACCGACAATCCCAAACTCTTGATGCCCAGACCAATTCCCAAGATAGTGCCACTCAAACCCTTCACACCATCGTCACCTACAAGCCCAGCTGAAAGGTTGATTACTGAAACCTTTTCTCTCCCTTGCGTCATTGCAGTCGCTTTCATCTCCAAGGCAAATGTCTCAACAGCAGACAGATGCAATTCCAACCCAGTGTGCAGAGACAATTTTGAACACTGTGAATTCCCATGCCAGTGAGGAAACGAAGCTTCATGCAATGTATACATACCACTTCCTGGGCTACAGTATTCGTGAAATCGCTCAAATTTACGGAAAGTCCCCAAGCACCATCCTTGAGTGGATTCGCACTTTCGACAAAAGCGGAAATCTGGCCCAAAAGCAACGTGAGACCGTTTCACGCAAGTTCACAGCACATCAAGTGGAGTGGATCATGCAGTTCCTCAATGAAAAACCTTTGTCCTTCCTGGATGAAGCAAAGTCATCTTTTAAAAGTTTTTGGGGTCGGGATATTAGCATAACTAGCATCTGGCGCATCATCCACGACGCTGGATTGACCTGGAAGGTTTGTCCCCATCATTGTAAAACACAGACCAAAGAGGTCAATCTTCCACGCTGCAGAACGTCAGTCTCTCAAAATCCAAGAGGACGATATTTTTCGATTTGTTCTGGAGCTAAACTCGTTGGATTGGACCCCCTCAAACCTGTTATTCCTTGATGAGGTTGGCTTCTCAAATGGTGATCTTGTTCAAAAGCGTGGCTATGCGTTGCAGGGACAGAGGCTTTGTACATGAGGTGAATACGATCGTCTTGCACAAGTTTCCCTCCTTTGCTTTCTTGACGTCAATGGCATAGTGGAGGCGGTTCAAACAGAGGGAACCTTTACCCGCTTGCTGTTTTTTGAAGGTTGTCGATGCCTGGCTTCATCTGGTAAAAGAATAATGCCTGCTACCAATCTTACATTTTGTTCAGGAAAGATCTCAGCTTATCCTGGACCACGATCAATTTGGATTCTTGACGGTGCCAAATTCACTGCAACGCTGATGTTGTCATGTGGGCCTGCTTTTACTACTTTCGTCTTAACAGTTTCCGTTGCACCAGGGTTTTCTCAACATATTTTCTTTTTTGGTGACTAACGGAGACTGCCCGACTGCCTAGGGATGGGGTGCATGACAGGCCATACCCAAAGCCCGCCTAATTTATTATTTATTTTTGGCACTTGTACATATACGCATAGGGTTGGGGGGACTTAGAGCATTTGTGGTGGATGCTCCAAGTCAGGGGGGTTGACTTGTCAATTTTCTCTCTCTCTGTTTTTGGGCCATTTCTCTTTTTCATTTTTTTCTTCAATCTGATTTCTGTCCTTTGGCACCAATACAGAGTCCCTTCAAATCCATCTGGCTCGCGAAGGTGAGGGTAGTGAGAGATGGTACACACCTGGGTGTGTACATAGTCCCTTTGTGGGGCTCCTCTTAAGGGGCTGTGGGTGGGGAATGCAGCTGGCCCCACCAGCGACTGTGTGACATTGCTGGCTCTGTGTTGGAGTGAGGATCCCTGGCGCTTGCCTGCCGTGGCGATGGTGGTGGTGGTGGCGACGACGACGGTGTTGTCGTCCCCAACCTTCCCGTCCCTGCGAGGGTGTTGGTGGCTGCGCCTGGTGCAGCCCCCCACACCTGAGAGTTCGATCTACAAGCGCCTGCCTCGGTCCTATTGCTGTGAGGGTGAGATGTGTGAGTACAAGTGCGATGCAATAAAGCCCGTTGGTCGAGTGATCGTGCCGACACAGCCCAGCGGGGTGCGTGTACGATTGCAGGTGTTTCCGCGTGCGAGTTCCCTGCTGGCGACCTTCTGACCCCTACATAGTCGACTCCCTTCTCTCTCTCCCCCCTGGTGCTGGCGACAACGAGGGCTCCTGCAGCACCGTCCGCGACGAGGGGCGCTAGGTCGTGCCCTGTCCGTCCCGTTGCTATTAACCACTCCTGTTGTATTTGAGATTAGGTTCCTGAGATAAAAACCCCCGTTTCCCTCTTCTCTTTCTTCATTCTGTGGTTGTGTTGCGCCCTCGGGAGTGCCCTTCCGTTTCCCCTCGCATCGGCCTGTGGCCACATGAGTAATCGGTGCTCCAGCACCGATCCTTCAGAGGATTGTCCCTCTGAATGTTCATTTGAGACCCCTGTTAGACAGATCAGTAGGGATACTTCGTGGACTAGGCAAGTAGTAGGGTTGAAACACCCCCTAGACAACAGCCCAATAAAGTTAGTTTTAGCCTATTATTTGCTTTCCCTCACTCTGGGGCCCAGACCCCAGGTCAAAGGAGTGAGTATAGTCTCACATTCGGTGTTGTGCTCAAGGTTGATGCAAATTACTTGGCTGACAGTGGTTTCCTCGAGAGACATGCTGTACTCAGTGCGAAAAGCACCCTCAATTTTTGTGACAAGAGCTCGGGTGTTGGCCATGACATTGATGTTGTTGACAAAAACAAAGATGATTCCAACATTTGCTGCTGAGGATCTACTCAAAAGAAGAGGCAGGGTTCAGCAAGAGATTGGTTGAAGCCAAGTTTCTCAACAATGAACTTGCAAAGGGTCAGGAATCAGTTTCGTCCAGATTGATGGAGTCCATAGAGGCTCTTGAGAAGTTTGCAGACTAGTTTCTTTCCATCTGGAGGTGAATCGCTTGTGGCCTTTTGGTGGATGCATGTAGATGACTTCTTTGAGAAAAGCGTACAGGTAGGCTGTGTTGACATCCATGCTGTGGTACTTGAGGTCAAAAGCAAGGCTGATTGCAATGAGCAGTTGGATGGCCTGGATCTGGACGACAGGAGAAAGGTGTCTGTGTAGCCAATGCCTTCGCGTTGGGTGTTTCCACATGCGGCAAGACAGGCTCTCCATCGCTTCAGCCAGCCAAAGGGGTCGAGCTTGTAGGCATAAACCCATTTGCAGAACATTGTGCGTTTGCCAGGAGGAAGAACTATCCATTCCCAGGCCTTGTGCTCGTCCATGAGAGAGTGAAGCTCCTCAAGCTCAGATGCAGTCCATTCTTCGTTATGGTCTGATGCGTGGGCTTCCTTGTGGGAACGTGGCACTGGTGGGAGTTGTGATTGGTGGATTGGTTCTTTAGGGAAGCGTGGTTCTGGTTTAGCTGATGCAAGGTAGAGTCACAAGAGATGGCGAGTGATTGTTCGATTTGCAAGTAGCTTGCGAAGTCCACTTGGTGCATCTTTGATGTTGACAATGACAGATGGTGGAAGTGGTGATTCAATGACAGGTTCCGGTTCAGTGTTGATGGATGTTGCTACGCAGTCTGCTGATGGAGCTAGGCTCTCTTCAGGTTTGTCTTCATCTTCGCCGAGGACGACAGCAAATGTGTCATGGTTCCAACCATAGTCGTCATCTTTATTATTGTCTTCCATATCTTGGGAAGAGTTGGAGATTGATCTGAGGTGTTTGTTGATGATGATGGCGGCTGTCCCCCCCCCTGGAAGCTGGCGAGTACGATAGGAGGAAGCACTGTCAGGAGGAGAGTTTGATAATCGATGGTAAGAGTCAAGTGGTGGCTCGACAGGCTCGAAAGAAGGAGAGTCATCAGTTTCAGGAAAATTCGTAAAATCATCAGAGAGAGAAGTTAAGAAATCAGAATTAAGAGAATGAACGTTGTGCTCAATGCTAAATGAACTACTGGAGGGCATATGGCGAAATGGTTACCGCGTTCGACTTCGGATCGAAAGATTGCAGGTTCGAGTCCTGCTATGCTCGCTTTGAGGCCCCTTCAGCTGAGTATGAAACGTATTAGAATTTCTCTTTGGTTGTTGGTTTTTGTTGATTGTATGATCGCAAGTTTGCGATGGTGTCATCTCGTGTGGCCGTGCGAGGCTGTCTTTGCCTTCTTTTCGCCATTTTACGTATTTGTGTTGTTTTGTAGCACTGCTGGTTCCTTTTGCAAAACAGATCCTTGGCAGAAAAATTATTCTATATTTACATTTGATCAAAGTATTTATGAGGGAATAAGAAGCTCTGTCTGTTGTCCAGTGGTTGTCCAAATGGTGGCCAGCCAGATAGACAAACAACCAGAAGTGAAAGGTTGAACCAATCAATATGACTGCACAAGAATACTACATAAATTCTATGCAAATACGGATGGTTGGCTAGTCATGCTACTAAATTGGCTAGCATTCCAACAGAGTGGCAGGCGGGAGCAGAGGTTGTGGTGTGCCGAATCTGAGTTTCAAGTGAGATTCCACGTACTTCAATCTGGCTTCTAGCTCCAAACACTTGCAATCTAGCATCTGGCATCTGTGGGTCAGTAGCTCATTACTCAGTGACAGGCTGCCAATCAGCTCCGTCTTGCGCTGTAGCTTGTGGTACCTGGTCATCATGGAGGTATACATGCCCTCTAGCACCCGTACTCTTGTTGCAATATCTACACTGTCATTGGCAGTACGTACAGAGACATTCTGTGCATCATCCTCCGCTTGTGCTCATGATATGTTCTCAGTGATTGTGCTCAGTGATACCTAACATCAACAAAGAAAGGAAGGTCAACTTGAAGGAGAAACGGGATGTTGTGCAGGCGTGCAGCGGCAACCACACGTCAGCTCCCGCATAGAGAGAGAGAGAGAGAGAGAGAGAGAGAAGTCAAGAGAAGGGACACTCACCTATTTCCAGGCCAAAACCCTTTGACTTGAAAATAGGAGAATGCAAATTATTATTCAGCGCTGACGCACTTGAGTGTACGCTGTGAGCGGTGGTGCAACAGCAGCCCTGCTGACGCTGGTGAGAGATTGCTCACTGCGCATTTTCTGTCCCCCCCCTTTTTTTGACAGTTCCGCTCGTGCAGCACCTGCTGCGCTAACAACTGAAAAGAGACTTTTCATTTTCGTCCATTCTGCGGAATATGTCAACTTTACAACGCGTCATTGCCACCTTCGCTTCCTCCTGGCGACCAATCATACATATCTCAGCGGTTGCAGGACCTCCGCTGATTCTTGGTAACACGCCGCTCAGCAGCCTTTGAGTCCCTGCAGACTTTTCTGTGCCTGTCATTGACCAAACTTGCTGCTGCGACCCCATCCCACAATGTGCAGTTTCTCGTGGCGAAAGACCTTACTGCACACACATACTGGCATGGAGATGCTTGCCCCCACCGTGGCCAGGATCGACCCAAAACCACCCAAGGCACGCCCTTCATCTGTCTGCAGACGACGTGCCTAGCGCCCGCGGCCTGTCCTCATCTTCTCGGGACCCTGCCTACCCCCTGCCGCTTGCAGGCTGCTCCATCTTTGATTTCTGCCCGTGGGCCACCTTCGTATTGCCTTCCACAATCTCGGTTTTGAACATCCATGGCGAACTCTCACTCAGTCCGGAAACCCCATTGTATCAGCGGAAGTTGTTGCTTATGTGGACATGCTGACAGCGGAAGCTGCCTCGTCTCAGGTGGCCCCCACTCAGGCCCATCCCACTTTTACTGCTGATGTCTGTGTGGCGCTTTCTGCCTGGTCAGCTGCGGCTCGTTCTCAGCGATCATTCCCAGACCTCTTACGCATTCACTCTTTCTACGCGTTTCTGATTCTGGTCTCATTAACCATGTGCCACAGGCGCGATATCCTCCGTTTGGTGGCTTCCCCAACGCAATGGCATTCTGCTCCGGTTTTTCAAGAGGAGGTCTATTCCTAATAACTCCACTCAATACGTCGCTTTGTTGGCCAATCAGGAGGATCCCGCTCTCTGCATCAATCATGCCCTCCGTCCACTCCACAGAGCAGCCAGTCATGCGGCCCTCACGATGTCAACCGCCCAGTACTTGTTCGCAGCTCACCGTGACGCTCCCATGCAATTGGGCGCTATCAACCGCGAAATAAGTTCCATTCTCCAGGCGACGGTTCCGTTGCATAGCTTCCATGTCGGAGGTGCCATCACGCCGTCGGGAAGACCTGTTGTTCTTCCGTGAGAGGGTTTTGCTATTCCTTTGCCTTCGTATTCCATTCTCTCTCTGTAGTCTTAGGCCCGGGCCGGCCGTTCTGCCCTGCCCACTCTTTCCTTCTTTGTTAGTCTTGGCCGAGAGCTCCAGAATACAGGAGATGCTCTCATATGCATGACTATTAGCCATAGCTCTCATCGTAACAATCGATAAAATCACTGCTAAGGATTTTCTTCATGTAGCCCTTGGAAAGGCCAGAGGTCGACTGGGGGCAAGCAGGCAGAATAGAAAAAGCGAGAGAAATAGCGAGTACACTGAAATTGATTTTTTCTCCTCGCTTTTCGAGGAGAGACTCAGAGACTTGTGATTCATAACATCATCTCCCCAGAAAAAGGTATTTTCCAGACATTCGAATCTGACACATGGCTGTTTTTGCACTCAAACTGCACCAAATCAAATGGAAATTCGATTTTTTCACTCATAAGACCTGAATCAAATCGAATTTAAAATCACTCTTTCCTAGAAATTTCATTTGATTTGAGTCTGACTCAAATTTTTGAATCAAACTCGAATTTACTTAAGATTTGACCTGGTTCTGTCTGTGGCAGACACTATACAGGAGGGTAAGGTACAGCCTAGAGGCCACCTTTCCTTTGTTTACCTACAGGCTACTGCCACTGGCCTTGGGGGGTGGCAAAAGTTTGTCTCTTGCCCCAACCAAAAGCAACAAAATTTCCACAAACGCAAACAGCCTGAGTCAGTCATGAAGGATGTAACTGGATGTTGAACCGTGGAAGCAGTTTTTGCAGCCTAATGTTTTGCTCCAAATGTTTGTACAAAGTTTGTTGCCCTGCCACAAGATATTGGACAAAGTGTCAAAAGGCAAAAAAAAAAAAAAAAAAAAAAAAAGAGCAATCAGCCCACCCAAGCCACAGTCCATCTGCATGAAATGCTGTTTGTCAGAGAGATCAAAATAGATCACAAAAATCAGGGAGACAAAATTAGAGCATCTTTAAAGCTAACCTGTCTGACCAGTCAGCTGTGCCTTCGCATTGTTGCTGCTATTAGAAGCGGGAACTGCCACAAAGCTGCTCTCTGCTTTAAGAAGGAGGTGGTTTGGCTGACTGAATTGTGGTGTGGCAGCAGATGAGTGGATGCATGCATCATGGTGGCTCAACCCAGGTCAACTCCAACCTACATTTCATTCACTTTTTCAACTTTTGTCCAAACAATTTCTGGCAGCAAATGCATTTTGGTATCATATTTTGACATGTCCAGTCAGGCGGTTTCATGGTGTAGTTGGTTATCACATCTGTCTCACACACAGGAGGTCCCGAGTTCGAACCTCGGTGAAACCATGCAGGAAAGACCACATTTGATTGTATTCAACCAAACCATGGTCCTCTCTGTGTTGGCACTGCCAAATTTGATTGGTTCTGGCAAAGTGGCCAAACTAACAAAGGCAGCGAGCTCGTTGCCAAAATCAGCCATTTGCATTTGTTTGAACAAGCTGGAAAAAAAAGTTCTGTTCAGAGCAAGGTTCAAATTCATCGCCCTTCTGCCATCTGGAAAAAAAAGATTTTTGTTAGTTTCAGCCATTCAGAGTATTTGTCCCTTTTTTTTTGTGCCACTATGAAGAAACGGCGCAAGAAATGGATCAACCTTGGTCCTTTTCTTCTGCCATCTCCGCTTCTTCCGACATCTTTGAAAAAATAATAGGAGAAGTAATAAAAAACAAAAATAGACAAAGACATTAATGCGTGCACTGCTGAACAGATGGAGGAGAGTTTGAACCGCCAGCCCCTGCAGATTTTTGAATTTTCTCAGCTGAAAGATTGCAGATTTCTTTATTCCAATGTCTGGCTTCTTGCAGACGAAGTGAGCAGAAAAAAAAAAGAAAAAAAAGAATCAAGTCAGGTTGTGAATCCAGCATGATGCGGTGGGTTACATGGTGCAAGCCTGACCAAGAGAGGCACTTCACACATGTGACGTGTGCAGATTGCGCAACTTTTGCTGCATTGATTGAAAAAAGCAAACTTGCAATGCAGTTGCGGGAAGGTTGTTTGTCCAAAAGGGCTTGTGAAAGGTCCTGATGGCGGAGTGGGTAACGAGGTGACCTGGAAAGGCATTTCCCTTGCGGAGCACAGGTTTGAATCCCTTGCAGGACGATTGGTGGATGAATGGCTTCATCATGCCTTACTTTATTTATTTGTTTATTGGTTAAGGGGGTGACGGTGAGACCTTTGGCGCCCTGGGGCACAAACTAACCGATGCTGTATCGACTTGAGCCAGTAGACAGAAAAGTTGGTGGTGGCGTGATTAAGACATTCTGTCTGCAGAAGCACTGTCAGGGGATTTAGTCTAGTGGTATGATTTCTGCTTTGGGTGCAGGAGGTCCCGGGTTCAATCCCCGGAATCCCCCCGTTTTCCCACTAGCTGAGGCATGCAACCTCCCTTAAGTGCTGACCTGTCCCATGAATGTTTTTCGGAGGGCTGTTTGTGGAGCCAATGGGGACCAGAAAGGTGCAAAGAGCCAGGCATTCTGTGAGTTACTTTGCCAGGTGCTAGGTGGACACCATTGGAGCCAAAGTAGTCAACCATAAAGGCATCACAGGCATGCCAGCTCAAGCTCAGGGTTAACCCTAACCCTGCCAGCTCAAGCTCTCGTCGGTAGAGCCAAACATTTGTGGCCTGTGTTGGCAAGGCAGGTCAAGTCTGGAACTTGATCGAGTTCACAGATCCTTCAAGGGAGTAAATGTAGGCGCAGGTGCAAATATGGGTGTGGGCTTATGTGTAGCTGTGTGGGCAGGCACCTCCATGGTGCTTCCACAGGCACAGCATCTTTCTGATACCTGGAATTGCTTCAGGATCAGGCTTGGCGGTTTGCTTAACGAGAGTTCTTAATTGCATTGTTCTGCTCTGAAATATTATGGTTAAAGCAAAGTCCCGTCCCCAAAATCCAGTTGGACAAGGCACCAGTTTAAACCTTACACGTAGTTGAGGCCTATGAGATCCTCTTCATCCTTAAAGGGTTCACCCTTTGGTCCAGTAGCATATGGGGAAAGGATAAGGCTTCAAAGATGGGAAACTCCTGTGTCAGGAACATGGCAGGACAAGGCAAGGCAGACAAGGTGAGAGGAGTGATGATTGTATTGGAAACAATAATTCACTTGAGGGATGGGACAGGTCCCCCATCTCCCTTTTACACCTTTTGAGAGTCTTCCTTGTCAAGACTTGAAAGAGCAATTAGTAATACAATGATACCAATGATACCAATGACAACAAGTCAGGAAAGCAAAGAAAGTTCCAGAAGGTTCCACAACGTTCCATGAAGGAATGTTCTAGAAGGTTCCAGAGCTTTCCAGAGGGTGATTCATAACATTCTGGGAACTATAAGAGCTGTAAACAGCCTACTCTGAGTGAGTGAGTGTTAGGAGTGAATGAAGTGGAGATGTGTGTTTGTGCGTGGCCTTCTCCCCAACTTGGAGAGAAAGAGAAAAACTCTGTTATGAATTATTGATACATGATTATATACGCTCTGTAATAGTTGCTAGGCAAGCATGACCAGCACAGGGTAAAAACCTCTCCTATATTATCTGCTCTTGCTGCTAACCAGTCAGTTCTGCCAAACATTATGTTTCAATTACTCATAGCAGAGTTTTCCTACTCTCCAAGAAGGACTCCTTGACAAACTCACAAATACATATGTCAATGAGTCCTGTATATACTGTCATTGGGACATGGGGAATTAGCTCAAATGGTAGAGCGTGCGATACCCCGATTCTCCAAAAAATGGAGAGTCAGTTTCTGGGGTATATCTCTCTGCCAGTCTGATGTTTCCAAGGAACAAAAGTTGCCTGCTTTCTGGTCAGAGGATAGACTGAAGGACTGTGTTGGGTAGGGCTCAGTGGTCAGCTGGTTTTGACCCTGATTCTAATCCAAACTGGGATTTTTCTGCCTGATTTTAAGGAATCCACCTGGAAAACTTGTGGGGACACTGTGGATCTCCACATCCACAGAGGGCTTTTTTTAGGAAACCACAGGGGCAGACTCAAAGCGGTTTCCTCGATTGTCCACTCCAAGTCCGTGCTGCCCAGCCTTAAGAGTGAGTGGCTTTTTCCCAAACCAATAAGGTTTAACACAGATCAGGCTGGATTCGCAATTTGACTTGCTTCGATTCAGGTTTTCAAACTCAAATGACAATTTTTCGCAATATGCCAGACATTCAGTTCGCGATATTAGGCATTTTTAGGCCGAATCACCCTGAATAGGGCAGACATTTGACAAAATTACCAATTAAAAAGCTTCGAATCAAACGCAAATGGCTGATTTGGCAAACAATCGTTTGATTTGATTTGATTTGATTGTTTGAATCAGACCCAAATCAGACCTTTTTTTTTCATTCAATTTGATTCATGTTAAACCCTACAAACCAAGCTGATGAGGTTAAAAGTTTCATAAGCAGCGGTAAGGTTTGCCACTGGTTTTACCAGGATTTTGCTGTTGTTTCAGTTTCAAGACAACAAGGGACGGCTTATAACTTGCCTTATAACAGAGTGCATGGGGTACGCGTGCAGAGCAGAGTGCACAGCAAGCAACCATCCATTGAGCTGGGCTATGTATATCTGCTGGATTTGTCTGCATCAATGGTAATCACTAAGGTTCCAAATCGACACATGACATATGATAAATGTTGCAACAAGGATAGGGCATTCCAGCATCAGTTTATGTGGTATCACAGTACGTTATTGCGAGATTTATCATGTATGGATGACGTTTAATTAGTGTGTCACAGGATAACTGTCAGGAACATGGCAGGACAAGGCAAGGCAGACAAGAAACTGAGAGGAGTGATGATTGTATTGGAGACAATAATTCACTTGAGGGATGGGACAGGTCTCCCATCCCCCTTTTATACCTTTTGAGAGTCTTCCTTGTCAAGACTCAAAGAAAGTTCCAGAAAGAGCAATTAGTAATACAATCAATCATACCAATGATACCAATGACAACAAGACAAGTCAGGAAATCAAAGAAGGTTCCAAAACGTTCCACAAGGTTCCATGAAGGATGTTCTAGCGTTTCAGAAGGTTCCATGAAGGAATGTTCTCGAAGGTTCCAGAGCTTCCAAGAGGGTGATTCATATCAATAACAATGCGCGGCTTTGTTACCATAGCAATAGGAGGCACATTTTGCCCGCTGGTTTGATGTGTGGAGTGTAACAAGCACAAGTGGGATAGTGTCAGTTGTCCTTTCCTGGGTCTGGGGAGCAACCCCTTTTTATACCAGCCAGAGCTTATGGACAGCAGCAAACATGGGTTGCTAAGCTCATGTGCAATGGGCTGTATGGTTTGATTTCTGTCTCTTGCACTAATACCCTTGACTGAAGCTCTTCATTACATTTATTACATGCAAAAAGTTAGTAATCTAGTTACGTAGTGGTTTTACCACCCGCATGACTGCATAGTGTAGGGGTTATCACATCAGATTCTGATTCTGGGGACCCCGGTTCGATTCCGGGTGCGGCCTTGGTCGTTGAACAGGGATTCCTTCAACCCTACTGACCTTCGGTAATTTGCCCCACTTCATTTTGCTTGTTATGTGATAGTTTGATAAAAAGTGGAGGAGAGTGCATGAAGATCTTGGTCGAACAGGTGACAGACATTTTCTCGCGGCGCACGATGAGAGTCATTTCGGTTTGAGTGCCATGCTTCTACAAGTGAGGAAATATATCTCCAGACTGAGGTGAAAGCTCAAGGAGAAATGCTGCATCCTGCTTGTACTTTTTCGTGTCAGTAAACGTCTTGAGCAAAGTGCATAATCTCCGCCTCATTACCCCCACCCCAGACGGGAACAACTGCAGGTGACTACAAAGGAAGTGGGAGGCGGGAAGTGTCTGTCCTGTTCCCAGCTCGAATCAGGGGAATGTTGCCTGTCAGGACTCAAAACCCTCTTGGCCCGCCTCACCAAGTCAACTTTACCAGGAGGAAGCAGCTTTGCAGAGGAAATTCGGTTTGACTGCAACAGACAGGGTCAGAGACAGTCTACTAGCCTAGGCAGACAACAAAGGACAAAATTCAAATTAAGAAACAACACATAGACAAATGGAGCAGAAACAGAAAGTGTACTATTTATTCACCATTTGAGTACTACTACAGTCACAGTAGCATGCCGGTCAGTGCGTGGTGTACATGCTAAGTGCCAGTGTTATGCTTTTAGTACCAGCTCTGTCCAAAAACAGATCTAAACGTTGTGGAAGCCTCACAGGGCTACCTTACACCCAGTGGAAGATGGGCATGCAACCCTGGGTCAAACGCTCCGTGGACTCCCAGGATGGGATGGAATGGGATGCAAAGGCAGAGGTTGTGGTGGTGACCGGAGGCAGGGAGATGTCACTGACAAGATGGGCTTCTCTATTCAATTCTCCCTGAAAATGCTCAGGGCAGCCAATGCAAACCATGCAAAGGACCCACCGAAAAAAAACACAAACAGGTGGCACGTTAAAGCAAAGGGAAAGCCGAAGAAAGTTCAAGTCGTACACTATGAAGCGCTTTCGGCTTCCACAACATAAAACATGTGAAATCGGGTAAGGTAGGAAGCCCCTCAAACCCGGTCAGATCAACAGTTTGTGCAAACTGGTGGGTTGCTGTTGGTTCTGGTTTTGGAACACCCTGTCTGGTAGTTGAGATTCCTCAATTTAGCAATAGAGCCAGGAAGTTGTTCAAAAACTTTGTAATTGCTGAATACATGAAGGGCAGATGGCCGAGTTGGTCTAAGGCGCCAGATTAAGGCTCTGGTCTCTCCGGACAGTCTACTCTGAGTGAGTGAGTGGAAGGAGTGAATGAAGTGGAGATGTGTGTTTGTGAGTGGTCCTTCTCCCCAACTTGGAGAGAAAGAGAAAATACTCTGTTCTGAATTATTGATACATGATGATGATATACACGCTGTTATAGTTGCTAGGCAAGTGTGACTGGCACAGGGTAAAAACCTCACCTATATTATCTGCTTGAGCAGAGGAGGAGGAAAACCGTTTACACCAGGTTTCTGTTCCACTTAATACTCGGAGTATTTGTCATCAGCGCAAGCCAGCGCCCAGGTCTGCATTGGCGGTGGCTCGCTCTCCCATGGGCATTGTGAGAACAATAACTGACAGTCACAATAGATTCAAGTC